TCTACAGTTAAAAGAAGTGAAGTTATAAGAAAAAGACAAAATGTATACTTAATGATTTATATTAGTCTTTTGGTATGTTTATAGTACTGACTAACATTAGTATGTACAAAATTATTAAGAAAATAAGTCAACTTTCTTAAAAAATACTGATATGGTGTAGTGGTATTTATAGAAATATTATTGATGACAACCTAGATAAACATAGCTGACGTTTACATAATATTTTTAACCATAAAAATTACAGAAAATTATGTGCAACAGTTAAAATCTTCCGTTAGCGAAACAGCAAACTGTTGAGTAAGTAATTATTTTCTATTCAAATAAATCAGCGATCGGACTGGTAGCACTAAGAAATCAGAATAATTAATGATATGCTTAGTTGGATGTTGGATAGGATAATAAAATGAAAGTGACTTTTACATAACGCTCCAATTATCCAATTGTTATCTGTCAGTTTTATACACAATGTATAGTGCTTGATCGCATTTGAAATATATTTAACAATCGTATGAAATTGATCTTCTGGATAAACTATAAAAGAAATTTAAAATTAAAATGTTTTTAGAAAATACTTTACAGTTCAAAGTAAACTAACAAGAGTTCAGATGATTATTCTTAATGGATAATTATTAACTGTTGGAATTATTTTGTTAAGATGTAAGCTATTCGGAATTGTGTATTTATGCTACTCGCCGACATCCTATTAGCAGGTTTATAAAAATCATATAATGACACGTACACTATGTGATCGATGTTCCGTCTCCAAAGTTGATGATATAGTGAGATTTGAGTAGGATGTAAAAATTCAAATGATGACAAAATATCTACAGTTGATTAATTAGTATTACAGAGAAACGGGAAGAAATCACTTATAATATCTGTAAATCCACCAGCAGCCCTTCTACAATCATTACCTGGCACACGTCCGGATAAAGGAAGAGGGTAGAATATGGAGTTAGCGACCTCATCCCATAGAAAACTAATTTGGGCGAAAACAATATAGCAAAACAATATAGCAAACCGCATCGACGGGGTTAGAACAAGGAAGGCAAACCAATCACCGGAGTTGAATCACAGAGAAACAGGTGGGTAGAGCAATTGGAAGAACTCTTGAATCGACAAGCCCCACTTACGTTTGAAGCAGCACCCACAGAACTCCTGACTTATAATAACTCACAAAAAAAATTAATGAGATCAACACGACTATCAAACAAATCAAGACTGGCAAAGTGGCTAGACAACATTCCGCCTAGAAGTGACAAATCAGTAACTGCAGAGATAATCCAATATCTGTTCGGGAAGATTTAGGAAGAAGAACGAATACCAACAGACTGGAAAGAAAAATATCTCCTCAAGATACCAAAGGAAAGAGATATCAGCAAGTGTGAAAACTACAGAGGCATCACTTTTCTCTGAATACAAGGGAAGGTCCTCAACAGAGTGTTGTTCAGCAGTGTGAAATATTCCGTTGACGCTCAAGTTTGAGATCAGCAGGCTGAATTCAGCAAGCGTTGGTCTATTACCTACCAAATCTCGACACTGCGAGTCACTACGGAACAATCAACTGAGTGGAGTTCACCAACGTACATCAACTGTAGTGACTTCAATTTTACGAAGAGAAAGAGATTGATTGAATAGAATAATTCATTATCATAGCTAATTGTACCAGTGATTATTGTTCATAGTCAACTTCTATTACACGCTGCGAACGGCTTCGTGATCACTACCTACGGTACACAACAGCTAACAGTCAACCTGAGTAACCGATGACAGTATCTGTGGACGTTTATCCCTGCCATAGCTGTACTCGGTATCGATTTTCGTACAGCACTATGAATTGCTGCTATTCGATTCACGTGGGCTGCAATTAATCGATACTTCGTGGAACACTAAATTCAAGGGTCTTAAATTGCAAACAGATGTATGCCAAATCACTGGTGTATTTTTCGCATGATTATTTTTTCCATGTTATATTTGACAAACTCCCCAAAGCAATTAGACCGAGGAGATTCGATTGGTGACTATTTACATGGTACAGCATATCGTCACCAACAGACCGACATTGGACAAATTAGTTTTCGCTAAGCATTAGTTTGACAATTTACTTTCCATATGTATTAGTTCGTCTTTCTCACAGTCTTTGGGCCTCCCCTCTCCACTTGGCTCGAAAAATGGATGGAGTTAGTTGGCGACAATATGGCGATTACAGAGCATTAAGGGCAGATGTTCAGTGTTCCGCCTCTGAACATGTATTCGGCACTACACTGAGTCTAACTGAGGGAATTTTTTTCACGCCATGGAGTATCGATTTCTCGTATATCAGATAACTTTTGACGAGTATCTGCGTAAATGCGAACACAGCCTCCAGTGTCAACTCGAATACATCATCAACAGATCGCTCCCCCTCAAGAGTAATTTACCTATTTATATGTTTTCATACGAGTAGGTTTGGTACGCAAACCTTTGCAAAAGCCTTACGAAGGATCTTTTCACGTAATCTCTCGTCACGAAAGACCTTCAAGTTTGATGGACACGGTCAGCATTGATTGTCTCAAACCAGTGCACAATAATGATAGTCGAGAATCAATGCTAGACTTGTCAAACTCACTGCCGGGATCCCTACGTTTCTTTCGGACCCTACGCTAGATACGTCAGAGACCTCGTTCTCACGTTCCAGTCTACAGTACGCGTAGTGTGCACTATCTGCGGATGTAACTTCAGTCTCAAATCTAGATCATTAAACACGAGGAAGCATTCGACGGATGGCATTATGGGGGCTTCTTCGACGCAGTGGTATGCCTGAGGAGATAGTCAGTGTCACACGTAATTCTAGTGATAGATTAAACAACAAAATCGTTTATGGAGGACAGCTCTCAGACTCATTACAAAAGAAGATCGGTTTAAGACAAGGTCGCTTACTCTCACTGTTTCTCTTTATTCTGGTGAGTGAATAAATTATGGAGACGTCTATATCGCAGGGGAAGTATGGATGCAGCTATTTATCTGGACTTTTCAAAGCATATAACTTTTCTATCCCACACATAACAACAAGGGCAGATGAAGATGTATAATTCATCTGCAACCCATGCAGCAGTAGCTTTCAATATACTTAAAAATAAAAGCAAGATCCACCGATGCAACACAGCATGCACCAAGCAGATCAAACTTGGTGGAGAAGCTCTAGGTAAGGTGAAACATTGATCGGCATCACTGATGAGCAAAGTGGATCTGATATAGATGTGAAGACACGTGTCAATAGAGCAAAGGAAGCATTTCTACAAGTGCAGAACATACGGAACTCAAAACAACTGTCAACCAACACTGAAGTCCCAATTTTCAATACAACTTAAAAAACCGTTCTCGTGTGTGCAGGCGGAGCTTGAAAGACTTCAAAAGCTATCAGTGAACAAACCAGATAAGGAAGAAATTAGCAAAAGGCCCTAGTGGCAGATAAGACATACACTGCGTAAATCGTCCAATCGCATCACAAAGCCGGCCCTAAGGAAAAAAGTAGACCAAAGCACATATTGAGGCGAAAATTAAAGACAAACATGAAGAGAATGAATGGCAGCTGTGTAGAACATGAGAGGAAGACCCAGGACAGTGATGTTCGGTCAATGCTGATCGGTCGATTTGCTCCATTAGCATAACTGGTGTAAATAAGTAAGTAACTATACAATCTTTGAACAACGATCTTCTTCATTATTAAATTAATATATCATTTTGTTTCGAATACTGTAACAAAATGGGTCAAACATATAATAAGTCACATCAGCATACAAAATGGTTAGTAAAATAATAAAATTTAGTTTGAACTAGTTGTAAAAATATTACAATCACTGTTATTTAATACTTGATCCTGAACCACAGTGGTAAAATGGGGAGAATGTAATTTTATGGAGAATATCACTCTTAGCATGTACATTCTCGAAACTGTTTAATCAAGTCAACTCGGTGCTAATTAGGGACTAGCTTCAAAATGTAATTCTAAGAGTTCTGTTATAATTGCACGACTTGTAAAATAAAACAGATGATTGAAGCAGTTTCTGTTGAACAAAAGTTAATGCATATCACCGACATCACAAAGCGACCAACACTGCAAATGACATCCATTTGATATTAAGACAGTAGCTCAATAATACTGTACTCTTTGAAGCAGTTCAAGTTTATTTCTAAGATAACGGAGTCGCTTTTGAGTTTTAATGGTGTCATGGATTTAAGTAGCACAATCGATGAAACAGTCTCACGGGTAAATCACTATTGTTTAAGATAAATGACGCGTGTTTCGTATTTGAAAAGTACGGGGGAAAACGAATAATAGTCACTGAGTACAAAAACCTAAGTAAAAACGAGTCTCTGTTTAAACGCCAATTCAAAGGCTTGGTGGATACAACTCAAAAAGTAGCTAATAAGTGGTGTGCAGTGGAGCTACACTCGTAAGTTCGTACCGAAGTAAAGAGTGTCGGATCCAAATATATGGCGTGAGCACAGTGTTTTAAAAGCCAGAAAACATGTGGGACAAGACAGCTAATAATCTGCTTGTTTTGCTAGTGAAAGTTTGAAGATTGGATGTACATATGTGACTACTTAACTGTCTTCTCCAAATATACTATTGTTTATTTAGTCTTGAATTCTTCATTCATTACGCAGTGTTAACATTCACCCAATCTAACTGTGAAACCCCTTTACAGCCTTACACAAGAGGATAAAGGATCAAGAGAAATAGAATAAATGTTAATACTACCAGATTGTGGCATATACTAATTAGTTAAAAGTCATTTATAAGTAAGAATATTTAGAGACAGTGACAGTGTACTGGGAATTCAACGAGCGAAATCCGAATTCTATTTTTATAACTATTTTTATAGTTTAAATAAAACACAAATATTATCGATGAAATATAACTTAGTACATAAAAAGAGGCAAGAAAGATTATTGTCTTTATAAGAAAGTAATAGACCAATTAGTAAACATACTAGTACGATGAACTACTCACCTACTGTACAACTGAACCATTTGATCTGTGAGGTAGTATTTGTTCTTCAAGTTGTCCTAACTTGTTTTCCAAGTCCTCTATAACTTGATTACTTCTCGAATACTCATCCGCAGATCGAAAAAGATGAGTAGTATAAATGCGTTTCCTATTAATATTTTGCTGACTACTTGATAACCATTCCACATGACTGCTAGTGCTCGGTAAAATAAATGATCTGTTGTCCCGTGGACGAGTTAATGCAAATGGCTTACAACAAGCTGCTGACAGACTAGAATGTATTCCTAATCTACGTAATTCTTCTCGAGATCCAGCGACAACAGCTCGACGAATTTCAATAAGTTCATGTAATCGATCAAATGAATTTTGTAAAATCCTCTTATCAATATTTGGTGGTGATGTACAAACGTAATCCGGCGTTACGGGTTTACATGAAACCAAATGACTCTGATAGATACGTTTGCTTAGGGACTGAAAAGTTTTCAGTGAACACGTACTGGATGACAATCTGCAATTCAATGATGCTTTTTTTCTGCGGCTATCACGTTCTGACAGTTGAATATAGTCGAAATTAAGTTTTTCTTGGAGATCGAATTGATTTTCTTGAGTATACAGTGAACTGTCGAACAAGTATTCACCTTGTTCATTTTTATTTAAAACTGAACTGCTTCTATTTGAATGAATAAGATAATCTCTTTTTAGTATTTTCTGTTTCATCATAGTGTGTAATTGACCTTTTAACAGTACTATTTCTTCTTTAAGTTGTGTGACTGTATGGTCAGGATTGTCCTGTAGATGAATATGTTCAGGGATTACTCTCAATAAATTTTCAACTCTTTCACATGCTTTGCGCAGACGTGTTTCAGTCATTTCTTCCCAACTCAACAAACGTCTTTTTTCTTCATCGTATAAAGCAAGTAGTGACAGTGAATTGTTAAATAAAACGTGATTGTTTAGCTGGAAATAGTCATTTTTACCGTAATTCAGACTACTGTTATAACATTGTCTAATTTCAGGTGTATTACATTCATCAATTTTAGGATGTCTTTTTAGTCTCTGAGAAGGTTTGTTATTAGTTTGTTTGGAAAATTTTGCCGCATCAGTTTGATCTTCAAAGCTATCATTTAACAGAGTTTGGATGGGACTACTTAACTCATCTTCGATAATTTCTGGTGACTGACGACTAATTAAGTTCCATAAGTTTTCAGCTGTAGAATGCTGCTTATCAAACGAATTGTCTGGAATTCCATTTGTTGAAACTTTGCAAGAATATGTTACATGTTCTAACAACTGTAATGCATGCTCTAGGAATAGAGTAACGATTGGACATAAGCTATGAGGACCTTCGATTTTAGCACCAAATTTAGAAGTGACCAGTGGTTTTAACTGTAGAATAACTTGTTCAACTAAATCAAACGTATTGCAAAAATTATTTTGTAATGTATATTCTTGATTATTTATTTGCTCTGCTAAGTACATAGCATAATAGATTTGTTGAGTTTGTTGCTTAGTGAATATCAACTCATTTTCTAATGAGGCATTCAACCATATTTCTAAACCTGTACGTAGTAAATCTTTATTTGCTTGTATGGCTAGAAGACCTAAACGTTGACTCAGTAATAATAATGTGTGTTTTAATTGTCTATCAAGTTTACCAATTGTCTTTTGATCGATCAACATTTGTAACTTGTTTAAAGCATTTTCTTCTTTCATTGAGAAGCGTGCATAATCCTTTAAATCTGATGGTAAATGAATTGATGCATCACGTAAAATAACTATGGATGAGAGAATTGCAGACATTTCATTTGGTTGCAAACTGTTAATAGTCAACAAATGATTTAGACGATTTATTTCAGGTCGAACATCTTCTATTGGATATAATAAATCTTCACAACTAGAAAAGTTAGTCAAATTATCAGAAATGATATCAGATTTGATTTCATCCATCCCATTGATTGATTCGATTAGACCACTGTTAAGTGAACATATTTTTGTTTGATCGTTATCTAATGACAAATTGTTGAAGATTTTATTTATATTATTTTTTAACTTTATGGAGATTTCTTCATAAGATATACTTAGACTTGTCTGAGGGAAAGATTCTTCAATCGATAAATGTGAATAGCTGCATAATTTACGGATTAAACTACTACACAGATAATATTTTAAATGTGGTATGTATTCCAAATCCTCATGAAATATTTTTGAAAAAGTTAAATTATGGTGTAATTGATCTGAATCAATGATCAGTTGTATTAAATCACATGAACTCAAATCATTTAAATTGACACTAAGCAATCGTTCGAGACTTTGTTCAAAAATATGAGACTGAGACTTTACATCTGTGGACATAGTTGCGACGGATAAAAATTCATTGTGTTTATTTTGTTTTTTAATATCTTTTGGTATTAGATGTTTTAAAAAATGAAGCAACAATGGAATTGATTGATGAGTGTTAATATCAAGCTCTTCAAATTCTTCTTCATTCTTAATGACTTTTAATAAACTAGTAGTATATTTATGAAGATTTATGCAAAACAATTGAAACAAATAACTAATTAAATGTTGACGACAATGTTTTGGCAGTATATTCAAAAATTGTACCAGTTCTTCACATGTATTGTAATATATTAATATTGCTTGTATAATTGGCATACAATCTTGAGGCAGATTTAGATTAGAAATATCTACATATAAAAAGCAGTTTATTAAACTACTATCCAATCTGTCAATGGTACATGAATTTGTTAATGAAGTTATATCAGTTGAAGTTTCATGGTAACTATTCTGCAAATGATTATTATATTTGTTTGTTAAAATACAACTTACAAAATATCTTAAATAAGAAATTGTTTGCACTGGTAGTACTGAACATGATATATCATGAAGATGTTGGAAATGATTTAGCATAGTTATTGTATGTTTGACAGGATACTGGTTTAATAATATAGAAACTCTTAATAGTTGAGAAAGATTTTTTCGGTTTATTGGTTCAATAGGTATTTGTATTAAGTTTGGTTTTATAAAATTTTCTTCGTCAAATTCATTCAGTAAATTAATTAATTCACTTTGAACATTTCGGAATACTATTTGTAAAGCCTTTTTATTATATTCATCGATTAAACAAGATTCAAAATTTGAAATCCATGAAGCTTCCAGATTCGCAGATGAAATCCATAAGTAAGATTCAATTTCACTGAGGGAATGAAGAGCAAGTGGTTTATGTACATCTGGATGAATAAATTTTAAGATATTTTGTATGCTGGAGGCTAAAGGAGCTGCATCAGTTGGTTGAATGAGAAATAATTCAGGATTTTCTGAAGATGGTAATGAAGATAATTTAGATAAAAAAGAGTTTAAGTAAACTACTGATGCAATGATATCAGTATTTGGAATTAACTCACAGGAACTGATTGTTGTGTTTGAACATAAAGCGTAGCGTAATGCTTCCTTTTCCGAATTCGAAATACTGACGAACTCATGTTCACATTCATTTTGTAACTCATTTAAAACGTTGACACATATCCAAGCGCTTCTCGGTCCATTCAATCGCCCACTCAACAATGATAATTGGATTGCATTCTTCAACTCTTGATTAGTCACTTCAGCAGTTAAGTCACACTCTGTGCTGACTGAAAGCTTTTGAATGATAACTGTTCTTTGTTTTTGTGAGTATAAATCTAAACGAGGTTTCCAAAATTCAGTTAGGCGATTAATTTCGAGCTTTGCTAATTTTATTAGTTTTGAATGCGTTTGTTGTGAAATATGATAGAATGGTCGAGCGCAAGCTATGGAGGTATACCACATTTCTAGCAGCATCAAATTAGTCCAGGACTCAGGTGAATTGATAAAAACATTTTCTTCTAAAGCATTATCAACAATATCACTCAAGAAATCTAGATTTCCACTTAAAAACCATGAAAGCGATGTGCTTAGAGCTGCAGCATCTTCTTTATTTATCATATGAGAAACGGATGGTTCCATAATATTTTTATTGAGATGGTTTTCCATTACTTGTATACATTGAAAAATAATTGATAGATTCGCAAATGATGTATTTTCATGTTTATCAGCATTACAAAGAATATTTAGGCTGTTTCCAATAGGTTGAGCAATAAATGATTGTTTCAATAGCCAATCTCCAGAACGATTTAAATTTTTCACTATATAGGCTATTTGCTTAGCTCTCAGTGGTTCAGTTGATAATTCCGTTGGATTAAATAAAACTGTTTCAAGCGATCTGACAATTGGTTGATAATAATCTGACTGATTACACTCATTTTGTTTGTTAATTATGTCTAAGAATTTAGAACCTTCAGTAGATATATATTCTTGCAAAATCATTGAGATTGATTTTAGGTGTTCACATAAATCATTTATTAACAATTTACTATGTTTATCTATGAAAATATTTTGATCTGTGACAAAAACATATAGTAATCTAGAGATTAAGTGCTTTAAATGAAATGATAATTCTACATCACTTGATATATATGATTGGATTCTTTGTAGTAGACTTACTAGTAAAGAAATATCTACGGAAGAGAAACTTCGATTAAATATACCAGAATTCACAAAACGATCTAAGATTTTGGAGAAAAGAATCATATAGTGTTTGGATGATGCAAGACTGGAAGACTGTATCTCGAAGAAATTTTGCAAACAACTTTGTTTTTCAAAAATGTCTAAAACATCATAAGAATTAAAAATAATTTTCAAACAATGTGCAAAATTTTTCGAATCACATATAAAACGATGTATTACTAGTAAGTTAATTAGCATTTGTAAGAACTCTGCATTATCTGTAATTAAATTCGGCAAGCATATAAGTATTAAGTAGTAAATATCCTGAAAAAATGATACTTCTTCATCAAGTTCACAATTGTATTCATTCGATTGATTAACTAAATGTTGTGCCTTTTTAATTTTTTGCAAAATTCTTGATTTTATTTGAAATTCATGTGTTTGAAGAAGAATTTTACATGACCTTATTTCACTGTCAGTCAGAATAAATGATTGTTTTTCCTCTAATGAATAATAATAATAATAATGTAATAGGCGTTGTTCTAATATAAAAAGTACTTTCTCATCATTTATAAAAGACAAACATAAATCATTGGAACAAGATTTAGAGGGAGTGGTGGTTGAGGATAGGAGACCGTGTAAGGCACTATAGGCAATAGCAGATTCTGTTTTCCAAATTGAAGTATTGCAAGAAATAATATCAAAAAGAATTTTATAATTCAATAAATCTGTACATGATGTCATAGTTTCTTGTGAGATTTGAGATTTAATACTGGTAGAAATTGTAGCTAGTGGTTTGAGATCACTGGAAGACAACTTAATTGTTGGATATGATGAGACATCTTGTATATCTAATATTTCTAACTGTGAATTGATATTTTCTAATAGTGAAAATAATGGGATTATTTGAATCGTCGTTAAAGGTTTTAGTTTTAAATACGATTGTATTGTAGAAATGAGTATTGAAGCAGTTTTAATGTCGATATCTTGTTCTCCTACAGTTGATTTCGTTGAGAACTTATCAGTTGGTATCTGTTCATCTGAGTCTTCACTTTGCTGACTTGACATAACAGAAATTATGTAGTCGGAGTTTTTGATATCAGCATCTAATATATCTTGTATTTCACTATCTGTTTCTGAGGTATACAATTTCAAATTAGGTAATATCTTTTGTTTAGTCATATTTTCTGGTTTCAATAATTCAGATGTATTGGCTATTTGAGATATAAAGTTATTCGGTGTTAGTTTAAAGTAAATATCATTAATATTTTGGATTTCATTAGTGGTCAGTTGATCCATCAATTGTTCATTTGAGTAAACTTCATGAAATAAATTGGCCATTTTAATGCTCTCAGAGAGTTTCAATTCCGAATTCTTAATGATGTCTGAAGTATGAGATTTGGATGAATTATTATATATGTCAATAATCTTCCTGATAGCTGAAATCATGAATTCTTCCTTATTTTGGGCAACGTTCAGCTCACTGCTCAATAGTATATCATGAAATTCAGGATCACTGTGGCTTTCAGCAATTTTTAATGTGCTCTCCTTAGAAACTAATGAAGCATTTGTATTCATTAATACATGTTGGCTGTTCACATTTGGTACTAATAATGTAGCTTCACACTTTTCTGTGTTTCCAGATATGATGGGATGTTCATCGGCTGTCATCAATGCAATAGGATCAGCAGCTGTATGTGTATTTGTTATCGCATTTGTCATATTATTAAGTTGTTCTGCAATACAATCTAAGTGCATCTGTTCTTCGACTTTTAGCGTAAATGGGAAAAATTGTTCACCGAAGGCTAACATACTAATTAATGAACATTTTAAAGATTCTGGTATACACTGTATTTGAAATGAATATAACCGTGATAAATGCTCAAGTTCAATGGTTCTGAACAAAATCTCATATGCTGATGTTGAATTAACGATAACTTTACTTGTTCTGATGCGATTATAAAATTCTTTATATATCTCTAGCTTTGAATATAGTGTATTATTATTAGTAAGGCTTTCTTGGTTAAGGACATCAGAAATATTGATAATATTTGATAAAAAATTGGTAAAAGATATGATTTGTTCACATGATGCATCCATATTTTCTGAGTTTTGATAGGACAGACAATATTCATATAATGAATCAGCATGAACATTTGATAGATTTAGTTGTTTTGAATATGCTAGTAAAGCTACTTGGCCAAGAATCAGATTATTTAGTGATCGACTACTAAACTGTATATCATTTGACAAACACAAATCTTTGAAATAATCTGATATCATGTTTTCGATATTACCACGCTGAGTGTAACATAACTTTTCAAGAATGTTTTGTAGTTTCAATTTAGTTTTCGAATTGATTATAAATGGGGTAGAATTTATACAGCTTTGAATAACATTTAATTTGAATAAACTTAAGAATTCTTGATCTAATTTTAGTGCCTCCATGATATCTGTTTGATTTTTAATGATTTCTAGCATACACAATAACATTTCTGTATTTTGCGCATCCAATAAACAAAATTCGCTTTGGTTTGTGCTTTCAAAGATTACTTTTAATTTATTTAAATGTGTCAATAAAATTATCTGATCGCTGAAGTTATTAAAATTTGTGGAATTGTGAAGTATTTCCAAATCATTTTTCTCGTTCATAAGACATCCTTCTAGGGATATAAACTTATTTGTAACTTCTCTCTGATATCTTATAGCGAACCAAGTTGTTGGTCGGATTTTATTTTCAGCTACCGCGAAAACTGTATTCAAATTTACAATATCATGTATGCTGTCAACAGAATCATCATTCTCAACTGTTTGGAATTCAGTTGGATTTATAATTTTGCCGTTTTCTAATTTAATATATTTTTCTTTTAATTTATTGGATAAGCTTTTGAAGTAAGTAATAAATTTAGTTGATGTTTCTTCACTAATCTCATAACTATTAGAAAATTTTTTTGAATGAATTTCTTGTATGATTTGTTGCGTTAGTTTCACCATGTCCGTTGGAATTAATATAGGACAAGAAACAATATCCGATAAACAGTTTATGAGGAATTTACAATTTTGTGGTTTTATTTTTAATGCACAAGATAAACCTTCAGTTGTTGATTGACTTAAAATTTCCTCTAACATTAAGATATGCAAATGTAAGTTATGATTGACAAAAGTTTCAGTTATTATTTCATCTTTCGTATGATTGTACTCGACAGGTTTTTCAATTGTTATGTCAGATGATGTGATATTACAAGTTTCTAGATGATGATTTAATTGGTTGGTAGATGATACATATGGAACAAGCGCTTTTTCTCTATTATTCTGTAATTTTTGTTTGACTAGACACAAATCAGGTACTGACGTAAAATGTGGTGAAAATCCTAGTGAAATGTAATTGAGTTTGTAAGGTAAAAGTGTTGGACTGGTGTTCTGAATTGCTTTCATCAGTTTTTTTGTAATATTTGTTAAGGTAGTTTGGAGGTTAATATAAAATTTTGATCGGAAAAGCAGAAGTATACTGATGAGTATATTTGCTTCTGTTGACGTTAAGTCTATTAAATTGTAATGTAGACGTCTTTGTGAAAGCAAAATACCAAGTAGCACAAGTGGATTGAGAAATGCCATCCTTTCGTACATAGACAACTCAGAAAGGCAGTCAGATGCAGCCCGATAAATAGAACGATTTAAATCTGTCAGATTCATTTGGTCACGTCGATAATGATATTTAGAAAGTGAGTCATTGCATAATCCACTTGATAGAAAAGAGACTACTGACGTGGAAGTATCCTCTGATATCTTTGCGAATTTCGAATTGATAAGAGCATGATAAAATTCAGTGAATTTTCCGATTATTTTAGCAATTTCATATGGACTCATAGTTTCGAGACCTGTAATGAATACAGAAGTCAAAGTTATGAGAATCCCACATGTTATATCATCCGTTTCTCCATTGACAAAGTAATACCTTTTATTGATAACCTTGTTTCTTGTTTGAATTAGAAGATTATGAAATTGATTTTGATATGTTTTACTAGTTTTAGTTGCGTTCACAGTAACTTGAATTGATGGTAACATATTGTTAAACATTTGAGTTACACTGACACTACCATTGGTATCACCTGCAACAGTTTTATCAGGCAGTTCATTTTGATGAGATAATATGCTTAAGTTTAATAATGATTTTAATTTCATACAGATGGGTGAACAATGCATGGATGGTGATTCACAAAAATCAACTAATGACTGAAAATTTTGACGTATACTTAAAAGGTAAATCAACTTATTTATTTCATCAGGTAAGGAACAAAACAAATCTAAAATATATAGTGATATCATAGTTTGAATAAACATTGTTGGTCTCGATGAAAGGCTTTCATCATTTGATTTTTCCGACAGAGAATTGGTGGTTATCGGAAAATGGAATGGTTGTTTGACTAAACTGTCATTATATACAATATTTTCTGACTGCAATTCAATTTGTAGTACTTCCAGAAATTGTTTTAGTTCATCACTTAACTGTGGTTTAAACAATGGAGAGCTGTTTAAAATCAGCTTTATATGATTTGGATTACTGATAATATTCGATAAACATGGATATTTTTCTGGTAAAATGGGTAAACGATACTTGGTCACAGCTGAGCACAGTTTTTCAACGAATGCTTTATTCGTTATGATGTCTTCATTCTCTGTTATATTGTTAATTAGAGAAGATAGTTCTTCATTTACCACTGACAAGTTTTCTGATGCAAAATCTGAGTTACTTGTCTCTTTTAAGTTTATACATGAGTCTAATTGCTTTTTCAAAATACAACTGTAAGTTGACTGATCTGCACTGAATAATCTATTTAAAAGATCTATATATGCACTAGTTAGCTTGACAGGTTTTTCAGAATTCGCATTCAGGCATTGGACTAAATAATTACTAACTTGTTTAACATCCTTTAATGTACGAGGAGAATAACTATCGTCAACCATAATAAAATTATTCCCTGTATTTTCAAGCAATTTCGATTTCAAATAACTGACAATCGGTGCTATCACAGAAGAGTCAACAAAGAAATTCCTTTCCGATTCAAATTGATTTGATACAGTGATATATGATGCATTCAGATCAGATACTGTACAACTGTCATCATGTTTACTCTGAGTTTCATCAATATAGGTAGATAAATCTGGAAGCTCACTTCTCATAGATTCTGAAATATTTCTTAATGTGGTGTTACAACTGACCAATATTCCTTTATTTTCTTCTTTTGAGCAAACAGTTATGTTATGATTCATTTCATTTAAAATGTTATTTAGATGTTGTTTTTTAAAGATCAGGTTACTTTTAACAATAGAATCATTGGAAATTGTGTCTGTTTCATATAAACTAGTTTCTGGAGTACAATGTTCACTGATCGGAGTGAGAATATGTTGAAATCTCGTAGGTGTGTTCTCATAAGTTATTTGAGAAATTCTAGGACCTATGTTTTCAAACACAAGAGACTCTTTCTGTTGGAATGCTTTTAAGCAACAATTTATTTTAATTAGATAATTTGTAAAAGCTTTTTTGAGTAAAGTTATATCACTGGATTGACAAATAATATTTTGATTTATAAAATTATCTGTTTCCTTTTCTGATAACTGTTTCATAATACATCTATGAATACACTTTAAGTGGTCAATGTTTGGTGTATTTTGAGTGTTATTATCACTAGTCATGGCAGTTGTAACAGAATTATCATATTCATCTTCAACGAGTTTTAAAGCAGTAACAATATCAATAGCAGCTTGCCTTTTTAACACACACTGATCACTTTGAATTTCACTTTGAACACTTTGTCTGACAGCTTCAATTCCATGATTAACAATTAATCCATGATTTAAACTTATTATGTTGTCTAAATGTTGAATAATGTCTAAATTTACTTGGGAATTTCGTTGAAATGAAATCGTCGGATCTATTTGTTCTAAGGAATTAATAGCTTCTTCAATGCTATCAGACATATATTGTTTGTACTGGGAAAATGACATTTTTTCATCTTTTTTAATTATTTCTAATAATGTTCTTTTGATTTGATTAAATTCTTGGGGTTTAATTATAATACCATAACTATTATTATTGTTATTCACATTAACAGTATGATTTTCTGGAATGGATAGAAATAAATTATCTCGTGCATACTGAAGTGTGTTCAGTGTTTCAGTCAATTTTGAATTCGGCCATACAGCTAAGGCAGATTTTTGAAATGCTTCTTTGTCAACTAGACTAATAGCTAGTAAACAATCATAAATAGTTTGACGATCATTCATACTTAAAAGTAGCATATGTTTTGGATTGTTGGAAGAGATCACCTCTTGCATACATGAATGTATAGTCTTTAATCTTTCAAACAATTCTTGATTTGAGCGTAACTCATCTATTTGGAGTAGTTCAAATACACTTGGCATAACTAATTGAATTATTTCAGAATTAAGGCAACTTAAAGTTGATAATCGTTGTAGGGTATGTAAGTGTGAGTAAGTTTCAGTAGAATACTTTGAATGTGTTTTTATTATAGAATATTGTTTTGCTTTTGAATTATCATCATTATTATTATTTATATCATCCTCATTGTCATCAGCTGCAGGTAACAAGTGACCATTAGGTATATTACCTTCTTTTTGTTGATTATTGTTAAATAAATTAACTTTAAATTGACTACATTTGGAAGATGGTTTTCCTGCTAATTGACTGTAGTCACTGGCGTTAGCATAGTGACATTCTTCTGTAATAATTTGTGATTTGTCTTTTGTATTTGTACGCAAGTTTTCATATTTTACTTTCCTAGTCAAGTCTTCCGTCCCGACCATCATTTTTCCATGAAAATGCTCTACAGATGTTTTGAATTGTGAAAAAAATGATAAACAGATGTTTAGATTCCAGACATGCATAAAAAAGTATTTCAAGTAAAGTTACTAAGTATTACTTTATTATTACTTGATAAAGATGATGAATATTTGTAACTGAGGATGGGGGGAATTGGAGCTAGGCTTCTTCCTCTCGTTTAACAATTAACTGTTATTAACTTAGACATAGACAGAGAATAGCCAACCAAAAAAAAATCCGGAAGAAATACTGACATCACAGTGTCCAGTAGCAATGACAACTTTCATTAAAGGACAGATTAGTGAACAAAGATGACAGAAATGAAGGCTTAAAAATCTACATAACTGTATAATGAAAATTCTCGAATTAATATTTAAATATATCAGATATTGTACAGCTTTGGTTTTTAGTCTCTTTTGTAAATACTAGGTGAAATAATCTGATTTATAAAGTTATTCTATTTTGATTAAAATGAGCAATATAACTAAAATTTGGTAATACCACTCTTTATAATGGTTTGTTATAGTTTATGTGACATAAACATGAAATATCCCTAGTCTATTAAATAAGAAACGTTAACCGAACATTTTTTGTTTCAATTTAATAACGCTTATACATTATAACTATGTACGTAGTTATAATATTCACAGAAAAGAATAAAAAATTCATTTGCTTTAGTGTGAATAAGAGGGAAATAAGTAGTGATCAACCTTTCGGTGTGTATATAAATATCAATCATACACTCTCATTTTTACTGGAGTGAAAATGATTCATACACGAAATCCAATGGTTATTTGGTGTAGAAAGTTTGTTTTAATTTTAAAAATGTTAAAGGAGACGAAAAAATAACTCTAAATAAACTCATGCCAGAATGAGAGTGCATTCTTGTCATTCATTAAAAAAAAGTGATGTAATGGATAGGGTTGTAAACGACCATTTGTAATTATATACAAGTGGTAACAGTGTACATAGAAACAACAGAATAGTATTATTGTTTCAAACAGTCAACTTGTGAAAATGTTCCTAAATGATTTAACGTGAAAAAATTATGATGTAATGATACGATAGTAAAATGCAATTACCAATTGAATTAGCATACACAGATTAATCAGATTTCCTAACACTGATTAAATGCTTATTTACTTGTCCGTAAGTATACGCAAAATTGCGTATCACAATTTACCAATAAATTTGAAAAGATAATATTTGATTCTGCATTAACTGATGTAGAAACTATAAAACCTTTTTCCATAGTCAATATCTAATGCAAGAATAAAACAACAAGCAGAACCACTCGACTGTTAAATAGCTTAATTTATTTAATTTTACACCGGAAATAAACAGACTATTCACTGAACGAAGTAGCCAATCAATAAATTGAGTACAGAAAAAAAGAGGAAAGAAATATTCCATTAGATGATTTCATATTTTTAAAAAAGTGAGATAATGCATGTTATGCGAGAAGCATGTTATTGTATGAACGGAGACAAAGATAACAAAGAAAGGAAATCTAGAAAACAAAATGAAGAGTATCTATATTCGATATCTATCCATATATCTATATTCTATGTAAAAATATTCGACCTTTGATATGAGTACTTAACAGTTGTTGCCATCAAGTATAAGTTCGCTTGACGCTTAAAATATAAAAATTACAATTTTTTAAACAGTAATAGATTTATTAATTATATTTATAACTTCAAGTTCCATACTTATTGTTTTACTCATTATTACTATTTGAATTTATTTATTCATCCCAATTCAGATTGTTAAGCTGATGATTAATTAATAAGGATCAGATGAGCATTTTAAATATACGATAGCATCATTCCAGTTATTTTGAAGATGCTATTTTCTGTAAGCTGGATGATTTAGTCGTAAAACTTCATTATCCTTCTGGTGAACATCATCATACATACCTCAGTGAGAAGTAAGCTGTTATGATTTATTGGTAATTAACCAACAGTTTGTTTTGTCGGCTGGGATTTTGGTTTGTTGTTGTTCTAAATTTGTTTGACGGTCGTTTGCCTATTCATGATGACTGTTTTATCTCCTCACTGGATCCATCTCCATTTTTAGGTGGATTGAAATATATCTGTCACATAAATGAAGCACCAAGCTTGTCTCCATTCCATTTCGAAATTTTCTAGTTTGTACTTCAGTTAGCCATTGTCCACACTGACCAGTATGAGCGAAAATATGTTGTTCCGTCTAGGAGCTGGCTAACTTCTTTACAGTGTGTCTTTTGTCATCAGGTCCAATGGGTCGCATATTAGTAGAAAACCAATATTCATCTTTGTTTTGGCCACCAAGTGATTCTCAATGTTTGAATGAATGACATAAATGTCATATTTAATTTTCAATATATAAAGTCTTTATTGATAGGTCGAAATCCCAGTCATTCACCTAATCTCCATTATGAGACATTGTTCCAAGCCTTAATTATTCTAATCGCAACTAGTACACCTATCATCATACTATCATTATGTACATTTTATTTATCAGCTCTAGGTAAGTAATCTGTTTCACTATTACAACTGTCTTATAAATTGTCTTGACTGGTCTAATATTTCCACATACGCATATAAATATTACTGTAGATTAGGGAAAAGCATGAAGATGTAAGTGGAAACAACAGTGTTCGCTTAGATATGTTATTCTATTTCATCGTATGACAAATTTTTATGTTCCATCAGTCACTGTAATGTGGTTAACTTTTTATTAACAGTTAATCACATTGCTTATTATTAATATTATAACCTCGCTTATAATAATTAACAAATTCTATCTCATTTATGTTCACCTTTTCACTAATAATAACTGAGAGTATGAAGTATACCGCAAAGAATTTATCAGTCAACTTAACATGGTATCTAAATGACAACTACTTTAAAAAGTTTAAAATATACATTTCATTTAATGTTAAATTATTACTATTACATTGAAAATACAATGATTTCTCCAAATTAACTTCAAGGGATTTCCGCGGTTACATAAAACTTTTAGTTTTCAAGTTACATAAATTTTGCCATTTATTGCTTCTTAATTAAAATGGAAAGTAGAAAAATTGAGGATAAAGCTTTAAAGGCTAGAAAAAAGCAGTGAAACAACAAACAAAATGATACGCCCTAAACATTGAAGCCTATGATGATGAGTATAGTAAACGAAAAAAAGAAAATCTATTCACCATGATGAATAAGCAAATAGTTCACAATATATTCAATACACGAAATTATTTATTAATTCAAAAAAAGTCATTTAGCAAGACTGTTTTGTTTTCTTATCAGGATGTATTCAAAAACAAATCAGTTTTATGAATGCTTAAAATAATGAGTCGAAGCTTCATAATAGGTTTTAATTTGATTTAAAAAAAAGTAATAGTGGTTGTTACACCCAGTTACTTAAACAATGCCCACTATTTACTTTGAAGTTTGAGTTAGTCTATGGATACTCGAAAATCTAATAATTCAATAATGAAGAAATCCGAAATTTCATATATATGTATATATATGACAATCCAAATACTACTGTCTATTAAAAATAGATGTCTTCGAATTGTGTGACGAACACCGATTTATACCGCGGATAGTTGAAATAATTTTATTAAATCGTACAATTTGTAGTAAAGGAGTAAAGTTTGTAAAAAATAGTCTAAACGCTGTTTGCTGTGTTTGTTTTTTAGTTATAACTGAAAAGAACGATGATTTGCTAAAAATATCCTGGAAATTTTGTGGCATTTAATTAGGTTTTGTAAAAACAAATACGGATGTCATGGTCTTAATGCTGAGACTTATAGCTGACGGTAAACGATATCGGTTTGTCCTAGCCTGAAATGGAATCTAAAAGGGTCAATTTAGAGTGAACGAGGTAGTCCATTGATCAGAATGACTAAAATATTCACATGAACTTTTCTCATGAAAACATTTTCATTGACAAATAAACTGAGCTGCTCATTTTGACAGGACAGTCAGAAGACATAACTGTGATGTATTTGCGCCATACATTTCAAAATGATCATAAAATGTTAATTTTTTGATAACTTTTTACTACATTCCTGCTGCAAATAATTTTATGCACAGCTAGTTAGTAAGAAGCAGAATGAACAATGTAAATTAATCCTATTTCGGCGTTAAAGTTGTGAAAAGAAACATCAGGTGGTTTTGAAATACAAAATCTACCCGATTTTATAAGATCACGTTGAAAAATTTCGGATATACAGAGTAAATGCAATACTTTAGATATTCATCTATGAATGTTCTTATTTTTAACAACTAATAGCTACTGGAGTGCTAACATTCACTAACATTTTATATTTTAGTATGCTTGATGTCCTATTTAGTATACTTAGAGTTTTCACTCCATGGTTAATTTTATCGTACAGGTTAATTGCCAACATAGTATTACTAATAAGTTAACTTACATAATACACAATGTCACGAAGACAAAATAAAGTTAATTGGAAAATTATTTAGGAAATATCTGTGTGAGAATGACAATAACATTTTAAAGTGATTATATTTTATCTATAGGTTATTCCACTCTTTATTAGATAAATTTTCTGAAAAATTATATTCAGTCACAGTGATATCATACTTAAAAGAATGTTACAAAAATTCAATGAACCAGTTTGTATTGCAGAAGTGATGAAATATATATTTCACACATGTAACAATGTTGATTATCACTTACTTCTATGACAGCATGACGTACAAATACCCATACTCAGATTTTCAAATAACCAACGTTGTCTATTAATTCCAGCCTAAAGTATTGAACCACTTGCATGAGTCTGTGATGTATGTAATTATGGATTAACTAAAAAATAGCTGACTTCTATAACTAACTATTTCAATGTAATCTGATTATGTTATTTATTTGTTTAAGTATCATCAAAATACTAATTTGAGTTAATTTGGATAAAAATTCAAATTTATTAGTTTAGCTGAACGAAAAACATTGACAGTGTTACAGAGATTTGCTTTAAATA